GTGAAATACTACAAGAGAGAAAGAAGATTCAAATGCCTTAGGAGATAAGAAGGCAAGTGAGATATATATACAAATGAACAAAACTCTTGCTATTTATAGAAGAGAAATGACATTAATAATGTCATGCATGACATCATATTAAGTGTGAACATGCAATGTAAATGCATGAAAAAATGCATCTACCAATTTCTTCCTAAAAGGAGGCTTCAAATGTTCACACTAGTTCACATTAATCTTGTCAAAATTCAACAAAAAAAACAAAAACTAATAAGGAAAATCCAGCAAAGAAGTAGAAATAAAAGAGGATGTTTTGTTGCCTTGAATTGAGGCTTGTGTTTATCTCTCGTGCAGGGGGGAGCAAATCCATCTCTTTTGCCTTTAGGCTCAATTCTTGTGCGTGCGAGTCTAACCCCTTTTACGAGCTCCTTATTAGCAGCCCACTAGAGGATGACTTAATAAAGTAGAGGAAAAAGTTGTCTTTAATGAATGAGCGACTCTTCCCTTTTGAGATACTATTCACATTCTTTCTAGCACTCCCCACTGGAGAAGTTTATAATATATGTTTGGTTTAATTAGACATAGAGCTATGGCATGGTATGTTTCTTTACTCAACATTAACCTAGGAACTTCTGTTTTACTTCTTTTGAGATGCTCTCAACTCGAGTGTTTCATGTCGAAAAGTTTGTGGCAGTAAATCACTAGGCTTTGTCACTCCCTTGCTTTGGCTGGAAGTTCATAACTGCAATAAGGCTAGTAACTTCAGCAGTTTTCCTCCTTTCTTGAGGGCAATTCAGATCTCAATTTTTGATAATCCCACCCACAGTAGAATTAGAAGCGAGATCTTACTATATCAAAATTTGCAAAACCAGCTGCCCATTACTATGGTGATGCAATCGCCGCCATAGGGCACTGTTGAGGCAGTACATTTATCTTCAAAAATCGCGATCATGGGCCTAAGGGCTGCAATCGCGGCCTTCTTCTTGGTATGCAAAACATTCATAGGCCACGTAGAAGTGCGTGCTTCAGGACAGCAGCTATAGATAGCTGCACTTTGCGAATTTCTCGTATCTTTATCAGAATCTGCCAAATCGAATACTTTGACTGTTTGACAGATCCAAAGTATAGGCACTTTACTGCCAAAGCGGCCAGGCTGATGGTTTAATACCTTTATTTTCCCACCTAAACATATGTCGTTGCAATTAGTTGAATATTGAGCATATGACATTTCTCTTTTACTTCAGTGTTCCTCTGGTGAAAGCAATCGTTTGGATTTAAGCTGTAGAATATGCAATATTGGACATCTTCCTGAACTATATTTGACTATATTTCTCAACTAACAGGTGACTACAGGGCTTCGCATCTTTTAAGAGCTTCTCAATGTTGAAGTACTGGTAAGAGTTACTCGGTAACTATGCTGGTGAGAGATAGCAGGTATTCCGTGGAATTAATCGAGGTGCGCACAAGATGTCCAAACATTGCCTAGTTGGAACAAGAGCAACCTGAAACCATCAATTAGGTGAATGCTTTTTTTTCTATGATTATACTATTATGATAACTATGTTATAGTCCATGTTGATCTCTAACGATGTTAAATTTCATATTTTGGTTATATAGGTGATCTCTGTTGAAGAGTTTTTAGTTTAGCTTTAAGTGTTGGAGATGATTCAAATGTTTTATGAAAGCTTAAGATTTATTTGTCTTTACAGAGTTACCTGGTATTTGTTACTGCTGGGAGGTCCCGTGAAATTAATTGAGATGCGTGCAACCTAGTTCAGAAACCATTATTATAAAAAATAAAAAATAATAAAAAGAAGATCTATTTGCCTTTACTACTTTTGAAGATGTTGCTTATTTCTGTCTTGCGTTGTATATTCTCCCTTCGTATAATTTAGAGTAAATATTAGTAGCAAATGATACTATGTTTCATTATTCCTTCCATTTTATAACAATGATTTTCCACAAGACTTCCAATTTGATGAGAATTTTTGTTGTTCCATAAGCTAGATGGCACGTTCATTCAAAAATTAAAACCAAATATTCAAACGACAAAGGTGTATCATAAGTACGTCTACTTCTAAAATTGAATAAAAATACCCATTTGTCTAAAATAGATAATATATTGTAACGACTTGGCCGGACGTTTTGAGAGTATTAGCCCCGAACCCCTATTTATTGCTCCCTCTATCTCATTTTTGGGTTTCGTAACTTGCCGAGAGGATTTGGTTTTGGTTTCGGAGTGAAATGGGACACATAGTCCCTAAAATGGAAGCTTGAGTCGTAGGAATTGACCGTAGTTTAATTTGTATGAAGACGACTCCAGAATGGAGTTTTGACAGTTCCTATAGCTCCGTAGGGTGATTTTGGTTTTAGCAGCGTGTTCGGATGTTGAATTGGAGGTCCGTATGTCATTTTAGCGTCTATTGGCGGAAGTTCGAAAATTGGATATTTTTTGGGAAGTTTGATCGGAAGTGGACTTTTTGATATTGGGGTCAGATTCCGATTCCGGAAGTTGAAGTAGGTCCGTAATATCAATTGTGACTTGTGTGCAAAATTTGAGGTCAATCGGACTTGATTTGATAGGTTTTGACGTCGGGCGTGAAAGTTTGAAATTTTAAAGTTCATTAGGCTTGAATCGATGCACGATTCATGTTTTTAGCGTTGTTTGATGTGATCTAAAGGCTCGACTAAGTTCGTATGATGTTTTAGGACTGACTGGTATATTTGGTCGAGATCCAAGAGGCCTCGGGTGAGTTTCGGATGGTTAACAGCTCAAATTTGGACTTAGAACAAGTTGAAACTTGCTGCCTACTGATGCAATCGCACCTGCGGAACTTATCTCGCAGGTGCGAGCTCGCATAAGCGATCCTGGATTGCGCAGAAGAGAATTTGGGGCTGGCCTGGGACTAGGTCGCAGGTGCGTGAAGGTCTCCGCATTTGTGAGCCCACAGGTACGAGCTATTCTCCGCAGATGCGGAGTGAAGGGGGGCAACTGGATTCTGCAGAAGCGGTTTGGGCGACAGCAAATGCTAGGCCGCAGAAGCAGACCTCTTGTCCATAGAAGCGATAGAAGCCATAGAAGCGGGGAGGACCTCGCATCTGTGAGACCGCAGATGCGGTTAAGTTTCCGCAGAAGCGGAAGTATTGGCAGAACACTTAAATACAAGGGTTCACGATTTTTCTTCATTTTAAACATTTTGAGCTCGGGTCTTGGTGATTTTTGAGAGCATTGTCGAGGGATTTCTTGAGGTAAGTCTCTTGCACTCATTTTTTGATCAATAATATTGTTTCCCTATTGATTTTTTCACCTAGATTGTGTGTGTTTAAGGTGAAATTTTGAAGTTTGAAGTTAGAGATTTGGAGAGTTTAATTTGGGGATTGGAGTGGCGACTTGTTGTCGGATTTTGGTAATTTTGGTATGGGTGAACTCGATATCGAATGGGCGTTCGTATTTTATGACTTTTACCTAATTCCGAGATGTGGGCCCGAGACGTGGGCCCGAGTCGACGTTTTTGGGAGATTTTTCGATTCTTTGCTAAAGTCATAGATTTATGATTTAAATTAGTTTCTTGTAGTTATATTCATGTTATGTAATTGCTTTTGGCTAGATTCGGGCATTCTTACTGATTGATTGAGCGAAAATTTGAGGTAAGTGACTTGTCTAACCTTGTGTGGGATAAATTTCCCTAGAATTTGGTACTGTTGTAACAATTGTGATATGTGAGCGTCGTGTACGCGAGGTAACGAGTGCGTACACAGGCTAATTTATGGAAATTTCGGTTCTTGCTGAGTAGATTTATTTTAAATTCCTTAGCTGAGTTGCCTTAGCATGTGTAGCTGTCATGTTTAGCCTAGTATTGCAAGTCTACGTGTCTTAACCTTTACTTGAAATTAGTGCAACATGCTTAGTTGAATTACCTGTTTCCTTGATTATTGTATTCGGTCTTTAATTGTAGGATTCCCTGCTTGCATATTTACTTTTAGGACTACGAGACGATACCTTTTGAGATCCTCATGCTTGTATATTTACTTTTGGAACTACGAGGCAATACCTCGAGATATCCCCATGCTTGCATATTTACTTTTGGGACTACGAGACGATTTATCGGGAAATCCCCCTGCTTGCATTTTTACTTTGGGGAATACGAGACGGTACCTGGGGAGATCCCCTTGTCAAGCATATTTACTTTTGGGACTACGAGGCGGTACTCGGGAGATCCCCTTGTTGTGTATTTACATTTGGGACTACGAGGCGGTACCTCGGGAGCGCCCCTGCTGTTTACCTCTATTTGTTGTGTTGTACCTTCCTGAAATTTTTTGTTGTTCATTTCTTAGTCATTTTATTATATTATAATATTTTCTGCCTCATTTTCTTTTATTCCAGTAGGACCCTGACCTGACCTCGTCACTACTCTACCGGAGTTAGGCTTGGCACTTACTTGGTATCGTTGTGGTGTACTCATACTACACTTCTGCACATCTTTTTATGTAGATCCAGGTTTTTCCTACCAAACCAGATAGCAGTGAGTTGGACCGCACGTGGAGACTTCAAGGTATATCTGCCAGCGTCCGCAGACCTTGGAGTCCCCCTTTATCTTTACTATGTTATTTTTTTTCCTTATTCTCTTTAGACTCTCATGTATAGAGACATTTAGTATTTGCTCTTAGAAGCTTGTGACTTATCTCTACTGGGTTTTGGGAGTTGTAATTATTAAAAAATCGCAGGTCTTGTTTATATTTCATATGTTGAGATTTGAGTTCAGTTTAGTATTCAGTTATTCCGCAAATTATTAGGCTTACCTAGTCTTAGAGACTAGCTTCCACCACGACATCTTACGGAGGGAAAACTGGGGTCGTGACAAGTTAGTATCAAAGCTCTAGGTTTATATGTGTTATGAGTCATAAGCAGGTTTAGTAGAGTCTCGCGGATCGGTACAGAGACGTCTGTACTTATCTTCGGAAGGCTATGGAACTGTTAGGAAGATCTTCACTTCTTTGATTCCTTATTGTGCAAGATTTTGACTTCGAATTCTAAATTTCTGTCTTTATATTCTCTCACAGATGGTGAAGATACGTACAGCTGGATCGGATGACGAGACACCCGCGCCCCGTGCTAGAGCCGTAAGAGGTCGGGGGCGGGGTAGAGGCCGAGGACGTCCACGTGGTGCAGCTAGAGCACTCTCACGAGATGCTACAAATGAGCCACCGGTAGCTCCAGTTGAAGGGCAGGCACCTGAGACGCCTATTACTGCACTAGTCCTCTAGGAGACTCTAGCCCAATTTCTGAGCATGTTCAACACCTTGGCTCAGGCAGGATTGATACCACTTGCTCCTGCCACATCTCAGGCCGGGGGAGGAGCTCATACTCCAGTCGCCGGTACTTCGGAGCAGCGGGTCCAGGTCGACCAGGTTCCAGAGATCATACTGATGCAGCGGGTAGCTCTAATTCAGCCCGAGGTTAGGGCGGCAGCTTCTGTGGTGGAGCAGCTCAGGATCGAGAGGTACAAGAAGAAACACCCTCCTACTTTCAGTGGATTGGCGTCAGAGGATGCCAAGAGTTTTCTTGAGGAGTGTCACCTTATCCTTTATACTATGGGTATTGCAGAGACTAGTGGGGTTTCTTTCACTACGTTTCAGCTTAGAGGAGCAGCCTATCAGTGGTGGCGCACATACGAGTTGGATAGTTCGGCTGAGGCAGCTTCACTCACTTGGACTCAGTTCTCAGATATGTTCTAGTATGCCTCATGTACGGGGTGCTTTCAGTGATCAGTCCAGTCGATCAGGCCCGAGCTTGTCGCAGCAGCCACGTCCTCCGAGAGCTTGTTTTATGTATGGTGACACTCGTCATGTGGTGAGGGATTTCCCCAAATTTAGGATGGGTACACCTCCACAGATTTCTTAGGCACCACGTGCTCCACCAGATCCTCAGGCTATGGTTACCGCATCAGCTACCACCCCACCTGCACAGCCAGCTAGAGGTGGAAGTCAGACAGGTAGAGGTCGCCCTAGAGGGGGAGGCCAAGCCAGATATTATGCCCTTTCTTCTAGGATGGAGGTAGTTGCATCAGATTCTGTTATCATAGGTATTGTTCCGGTCTGTCATAGAGATACATCAGTCTTTTTTGATTTAGGTTCCACTTATTCCTATGTGTTATCTTATTTAGCTTCGTATTTGGGTATATCCCGTGATTCTCTAAGTTCACTTGTCTATGTGTCTACACCCGTGGGTGATTCTATTATTGTTGACCGTGTTTATCGGTCGTGTTTGATTATTCTTAGTAGTGTTGAGACTAGAGCCAATTTATTATTGCTCAGTATGGTGGATTTCGATGTTATTTTGGGCATGGACTGGTTTTTTCCCTATCACGCTATCGTTGATTGTCATTCCAAGACTGTGACATTGGCTATGCCAAGTCTACCGCGGCTAGAGTTGAGAGGTACCTTAGATTATGTTCCTAGCAGGGTTGTCTCATTTCTTAAGGCTCGGCGAATGGTTGGGAAGGGGTGTGATGTGTATCTGGCCTATGTGAGATATGTTAGTGTTGATACTCCTACCGTCGAGTCAGTTCTGGTAGTGAGGGACTATTCAAATGTATTTTCGGCAGATCTTTTGGGCATGGCACCCGACAGGAATATTGACTTTGGCATTGATTTGTTACCGGGAACTCAACCCATTTCCATTCCACCTTATCGTATGACCCCAGCAGAGTTGAAAGAATTAAAGGAACAGTTGCAAGAGTTGCTCGATAAGGGATTTATTCGGCCCAATGTGTCGCCTTGGGGTGCTCCTGTCTTGTTTGTAAAGAAGAAAGA